TATTAAATAGTATGACAAACATAGTGTGGTTGGAATACTATTATTAAATAGGATATGACAAACATAGTGTGGTTGGAATACTATTATTAAATAGGATATGACAAACATAGTGTGGTTGGAATATCATTATTAAATGGATATGACAAACATAGTGTGGTTGGAATACATTATTAAATGGATATGACAAACATAGTGTGGTTGGAATACTATTATTAAATGGATATGACAAACATAGTGTGGTTGGAATACTATTATTAAATGGATATGACAAACATAGTGTGGTTGGAATACTATTATTATATTCTCTTCTAATTCCTGAAAATCCCCAAGGGACTAGATTAAGAATGTAGTTTTTAAAGAATGTAATAGGCCTAATACTAATGTCTTATGTTTAGGTAAATCAAGATGATTATGTTGTTGAGTAAATACTTAAAACAATGTCACAGTAATTCTTCATTAAACATCAGACATCACAGGTTCTTAGTGAGCAACTTGTAAAACATATACGAGTAGAAGGGAAAACGTTTTTCGTCTAATCCGACACTAGAAGTTTTGATTGATATTCCCTTTATGATTTCAACCTACTCTAGTAAACTTTGTCATATCTGGGATGATATATCACACCTGCATCTTGTTAGGTACTGGTACTATCTCCCACAAGGATCATATTAAGTGTCATACCCTATTCAGGTCACGTTAGATGACATTCCACACACGTATCTCATTAGATGTTATTCTCCACAAGGATCATATTACGTGTCATATCCTATTCAGTTGTTGCTGTTATTTGTAGTTATGCACAAAGCTACACAATGGGCTATCTGTGCTCTGCCCACCACTAGCGTTGTAAGTCCGCATACATACCGCTGTGCCACTGGGGGGCATCCTATTCAGATCACGTTAGATGGCATACAACACACGGATCACGTTAGGTGCTATTCCCCACAAGGATCATATTACGTGTCATATCCTATTCAGATCACGTTACATGGCATACACCACAAGGATCACGTTAGGTGCTATACTCCACATGGATCCCGTAGGCGCCATACCTCAAACAGATCCTGCTGTATAGATTCCATAATCCCCACAAATAATACCTACACAGGTCATACCGTGTATTATATTGCATACGGAACATATTAAGTAGCATACCATGCATTGAAAAATATCTTTTAAAAAATGCAAAAATAAATTGATACAAATAAACAGGATCTAACAGTTAACACATTAAACAGCGATAACACTAAAATAGTCCCCCCTGATAAATCTACGGACTTACAACGATAAAATTTGAGGTACAGTTCCCCGCGGTGGACAAAGCAGTTAACCCAATGAGGCTTTGCTATAAAATAAACAAACACTAAAAACAAATCAATATTACGATTACGTTGCTGTTTTGTGTGTGTAAATGAAGGTATTTAATACACGAAAAATAAATCCACTTTTTTTGAAGTAAAAAAAAAATATTATTTTGGGGGGGGGGGGGCTTCGGCATTAAAGATACTATGTATAGTATATTTGGCTGTTTTACAAACTACGATATCACTATAACATATTCTAAATGGTTATACGGTTCTTTTTAAGATAGAACTTTGGGAACTAGAGATGCGTATCACACATTTTGATATCCTAAATCAAGGATTGTCCAACGTTGTGCTAGTGGCCAGCGAACTTTGAATGGACAGTGATTTTCGATGAGAAAATTTATCATTTAACTTCTAGTAAAACTACCTGAGGGTACCTGTTAAGAAAGCAAATATTGTATAAAAGACAATGTTAAATCCTTCTTTTTTTATTGTTAGATATTGTATAAAAGACAATGCTAAATCCTTCTTCTTTTATTGTTAAATATTGTATAAAATACAATGTTAAATCCTTCTTTCTTTTATTGTTAGATATTGTATAAAAGACAATGCTAAATCCTTCTTTTTTATTGTTAGATATTGTATAAAAGACAATGTTAAATCCTTCTTCTTTTATTGTTAGATATTGTATAAAATACAATGTTAAATCCTTCTTTCTTTTATTGTTAGATATTGTATAAAATACAATGTTAAATCCTTCTTTCTTTTATTGTTAGATATTGTATAAAATACAATGTTAAATCCTTCTTTCTTTTATTGTTAGATATTGTATAAAATACAATGTTAAATCCTTCTTTCTTTTATTGTTAGATATTGTATAAAAGACAATGCTAAATCCTTCTTTTTTTATTGTTAGATATTGTATAAAAGACTGTTAAATCCTTCTTTCTTTTATTATTAAACTCTGATGACCTTATTAGATGCTAGTTTCACGCCCTGCTTTGTGGAAGGTAATAATTGACTCATTTAATCGATTAAATACTCAAGTCTTTAAATTCAGAGCCAAAAGTTTATAGAAAGGAAGAAGTGCGTCCTGTTTCATGTTGTTTTTATCCTCTTTCGCAGGTAAAAAATATAAAACAAAATATGCCAAGTATACCGTTGGACAGTTTCTAGTTATCATACCAAACATTAAGGTAACAGAACCAGCCAACTGTGGGTGATGTGTGCTATCACATACACACACACAATGGATCATCTTTATAGTACGAAATTATTACTTGTTAACGATCGTCAATTGTTGTGGCCCAATTTCAAATTTTGCTCTTATTTCATTGTTATTTGTACTTTATATTTTCCCCTGGTGGTTGGTTGTCCCACCGCTAGTTGGACAGTCTTGTTCTAACGCATGCGTAATTTACACACCTCCTATAATTATGAAAGTCTGACCAAAAGTAAGGTAACTATACAGATCGGGGCTTATATTATTTAAACCTGGCATATATATATTAAGCAAGAGATAATAAACATGCACATAAATGTTGTCGAACGTTTACTACGTGTAATTTTGGTGATAGTAAGTTATCTTCATTCCATTACGCTTTAACTGAATAATCCTATGCAGTAACGTTTAGAAACTATACGAATAGCTTGTAGCAGAGCGTGCACAAGACGTTTTAACTGCACTTGTTAAGCTGAGAGGAACTCAGGAAAAAATAAAACAGTAAATACCCCCCCAAAAAAAAACAACTAACATTCTACTTACAGGTTATATTGTTCTGACTAGCGTATACAACTAGGTGTACTTATCTGCGGTACTGTATAGCATAACTAACTGTTGTTACAGTATACAACTAGGTGTACTTAATCTGCGGTACTGTATAGCATAACTAACTGTTGTTACAGTATACAACTAGGTGTACTTATCTGCGGTACTGTATAGCATAACTAACTGTTGTTACAGTATACAACTAGGTGTACTTATCTG